ATGTATTTTTTTTTTTTTTTTTTTTTGCTACATAACCTTCTCATAGAAGAACAGTGTTTTCTTTTAAAGAATCTGACATAGTTTAATCTACTTTTATGCATTCCTCCAAAAAAATTTATTAGGAAGAATAGCAAGCATCTGATCTTAAAACTTAGGAACTTTGAGGGAGATATCAGGACACAGTATCTCATAACAGTGCCTGAGAAGAATGCAGTATGAGAGAGAAAATGCTTTTTGCCTTATTCCGAGGGATAATTCTTATTAATTATTTCAAAAAGATATAAGAAGGCCTGATTCCATATAAAAATAATATGTGTGTGCATTATTCCAAGGACATATTATAAGTCTAGATTTTTATGGGTACATGTGCACGCCCATACACATGCATGCATACATAAACATACACATGTGAGTATATCATGTATGTGTCTATAAATATACAAGTATGTAAATAATTTCAAATGTATGACTCATTACAAGGTTGACTAGCAAATATGATAATCAAACTTTTAACTATATTTGTGTCCCTATAAATGGCTTTTTTATTAAATTGTTTTGGTAATTTGATTCATTTTGACAACAAAAACCAAGACAAACATCTGTATTTATTTTTTAATTCTTTTACAATAGTAAGAACTGCTATTAGAACTGCCCCAGCCCTTTTGCTAGATACTGTAAGCGTTTGGAGAAAATAAATAGTGTCTTACCCACTTCTTCTGCAATCTGCTTTTCCTTTTAATTTAAGAAAATGAATTATAAGAAAATGTGGATGCTTATAAAATTAAATTTGTTTTTCCAATTTGTTTTCCTTATTTTTCATTATTTGCATTTTCATCAGGTGTTTACTTATGTGAAACATCAATCTTTCATCACTTGATTAACAGAATCATTTCTAAATAATTTTTGAATCTATGGCTTTCTACAGATTTTTGTTTGTTTTTTGTTTTTTTTTTGTGTGTGTGCTTTATTGTTGGTGATTTTGATCTTCTATGGTACATTGCCATAGGTGGATAGTTTATACTAATGTTCTTTATGTTCACACCTAGTTGGTTTAACTTCTGTGGGGATTTTCTTTTTTAATAATATCAGTTTTATTAGTTAATAAATCTAGTCCAGTTCCACAACTTTACATGAATCAGAGTGAAAGTTTGTCATAATGTATGCCATAAAAATAGTATATTTCCATTTTCTTTAATTGAACATTTATTGGCTATCAACTATGAGCCAGATACTACACTGTGCTCTGGAAAATGAGGTAAGGAAGCAGAATCTATTTTAGTGACTTTTTCTGTCCATTGATGGGTTTTCAAGGCGTAACATTTTTCTAGCAGAAATCAGATGAGGGATACTAGATTTTGTCACATTTTTTGTTGTTGTTGTTTTGATATATCCCCAAACTTCTCTTTGATGATAACAGAGTTCCAAAATATTTGAAATTATACAATTTTTATTCATATCTTATATTTTATATGAAGATTGTATCCATGTGATCAAAATCACATTTTAAAAAGTAAAGATATTTGGTAGAAAAATCTGTAAGATTGGATGAGTCACTCTCATTTGAGTGTGAGGCAGTAAAACCAGATAGAAGTTCCTGCCAATGTAAAATTCACAACTAGATTAGCTTTGTAGAATGTTAGAGTCAAATCACAACATAGTGCTCTCTAATTAATTGCACTATTTTAATTTTATTATCCAGCTTTATTTCATCCATTTTTGGGTTGTAAACATTTTAAGAAGATAAGACATTATTTAATTGGGTAAAATGAGTTATAATCTTTGGTCTGGCAATTATTTAACATAGTAAATATTGTCAAATAATAACAAGTTTAAACTTTGTAAACATTTTATGGATTAGGCAATTGCATATTGAGCGGGTATTTTGAGGAGGATATTGCTACATAAGAGAAGATGCTTAACCTATATAAATAGAAGTTTTTAAAAAAAAAATCTGTGCTCAAATATGCTTAAATATATTATGGATGCTATTGCATAGATGGAGTGAAATTTATTAATTCAATTATTTAATAAAAATTCTATTATTTAATAAAATTAATAATACTTAATAAAATAACTATTTTCCCTTGCTTTTAAAATAGGATGAGAAGGCACTTTAAATTTTCTACCTGACTTTTGACACATAAAGCAATGTGGTAGAGAAATTAATAGTGGCTTTCTGAACTAATAATATAAAGGGAATAAATAACCTAAGTTATGTATTTACTTATCCTATCCCCCAAATTATTTTAGATAAAGGTATTTGGGATATACCTTCAGTGATGATATGTGCCCCCAAATTTGCCTGTATTTTAAATTTTTATTTGAAAAATAATAATAATTTAGAAAATTTTCAAAGAAAAACAAATAGGATTATATGTGATTTTTATTTTTTATTTCAGTCAGACATAATTATTTTAAACATTTCCTCTGTTTACACATGTGCACACACATGCGTGCACACACACACACTCATGCTATAACTAAGCTGGTATATACATTATAAATGCAGATGTGCTTCTTGCTATCCTGTGTATCATTATATTCTGAATATTTCCTGACAGACATTCTCTGTAAATGAGATTATGATGACCAGACACTAATTATCCAAAAAGAAACCACCATTTTAGGTATTTAATTAAATTCTGCAATTAACACATAAGCATCTTCAAATGTGTAGATGCTAGAAGTGGAGAAAAAAGACTTATCCCTTCCCTCCCATGTATTTATTTATACAATTATTTCTTTATATCACTTTGGCCTCATGAATACTTATTTTATTCTTTGGTTTATAACCCAATACTATTATTATTTATTCTGGGCTCAAGTTGTTCCAGAGTTAGCCAGTGGGCGCTCTCCCAGGTTGGTTTCAGTGGCCTTCTGACAGCTTTCCCCACCACAGGCTATTGACTCTCTTTTTTTCTTACTTATTCCCTTCCTTACTTTCTTATCTTTTTAACTCACTCTTTTACCATCTGACACCATGAGATCTCTAGACTCATGTGCATTTTCCCTGCCCTGCTCCTAGGTTCAGCCATTTACAAGCAACCCTGGAGTCTTTTATTGGAAACCGGAATTTAGAAACCAACATCTACGTAGATAGGAACATTTTGATTTTTTTTTAATAACAGGTACTCTCACCATCAGTATATAAAAGCATCCTTTTAACTACAGTCTTTCCAGGCATATATATTTTCACTGATTTCATACTACTTTGGATGAAAACTATCATATTGTAATTTCTGGTTCATTGTGAAATTGGACATTATATGACTTAATACTGTATTTGAAAATATTATTTTTGATTACCTGGCCAGTGTTGCTCAGGGACTGAGTATCACCCAGTTCACCAAGAGGTCAAGGTTCGATTCCAGGTAGGGCCACATGCCCGGGTTTCGGGCTCGGTCCCAGCAGGGGCCGTGCAGGAGGCAGCCTCTCAGTGTTGGTGTTTCTCTCTACATTGATGTGTCTGTCTCTCATTCACCCTTCCTCTCTCTCTAAAATCGATAAAAACATATTTTTAAAAAAATATATTATTTATGATAATAAAATTGATTTCTCTAAGATCCCCAGGTTTATCCCCAGCCCATAGGTGGGGTAGAAAAGCCATTTTATTTTTTTATTTTTACAATTAATTAATGTATTGAGTCAGAGAATGATCTGAGTGATCTATAATTTATTGGAATGTAAGACGTGGAACATACTGGTAGGCATTTGTTACAACATCATTTATTGATGATTTGTTTCTTCATGTTTAGGTTTTGTTTTGCTTTCCTTATATATTAAGTTCAGCAAATGTTTTTAATTAATTTCTGGAATTTTATTCTGTTAATTTATGTTTTCTTTTGGTCTACATTTTGAAATCTCACAGGGTAAGTCACCCCTTTTTGTTTGTTTTTTGTTTTTTAAAGGTTTTTTATTTTATTTTATTTTTTTAAATATATCTTTATTGATTTCAGAGAGAGGAAAAGAGAGGGAGAGAGAGAGAGATAGAAACATCAATGATGAGAGAGTCATTGTTCGAGCCCACGACCTGGGCATGTGCCCTGACATGGAATCGAACCCCGATCGCCTGGATCCTAGGTCGAGGCTCAACTGCTGAGCCACGCCCGGCCGGGCAAGTCACCCCTTTGACAGTCAGTTTTTCTTTCTTCACACCAGCCTTTATTTTCACATGGTAGCTGTAATTTGTATTGGTTTTGCTAGTGTGTATCTGACATAGTTAAACCGATGGTCTTCCGAATTGTTGCTCCCTTTATCCACGTTTTACGTTCCTTTCTAACCTGCAGATATTTTTCTTTTCAAGTTGCAGGTTTTCCTTTTACAGTGTACTTAATAGTGTTTTAAATCTGTGGTTTTGAAGGGTTTTCATTTGTTTTAGGTCCAGGATTTTACAATATATCTTACTTCATAAATTTCTTTTCATGATTAATGCCAATGGTGCTGAAAGAAGTAAAAGTTTCCCTACTGCTCTGAACACAAATAATAGAGTAACTGGTCCAAACATTCTTGGCTTATATGTATTTACATGTTTTCTCTATGAACAAGATGGCCCTTTTATTTTTCATACACTTAAACATACTTATAAGTATCTACTGCACGCATTCATTATAAATTGAGGACTCAAGGATAAAATCAGGAAATATCAGAATCTTAGACTTCCGTGTGCCCTTAAAGATTCTGTAATTAAACCTCCTAAATTATGCTAAGTAGCTTCCCTACATTCTCTCTGC